CACCCCATGACCTCACCATTTCAGCTGGGCTATAAATCCCATTGGGTTTTACACCGCAGCAACCTCCAAAGGGCAAATTGTTAATAGGGCTTTGTGGAAATCTGACATAAAAGGGGGATTTGGGTAATTGAACCAGAAAAGCCTCAATGCGGCGACAATAGAGCCCTCTCTCCCCCTTTGCCCTGACTTGTGAAGCTCTGCATAAAGCCACGCTTTGGCTAAATTGCGTGGCTTTGCATGATCCTGTTGGTTGCAAAGCTGCACAGACAAAAAGCTGCTTTATATGATGGAGAGAGATAGATTTAATACAAAATGCTGATCCCGTGATTCCACATTAAAACGTTTCCACACAAATTAAGCATATACTTGCATATCAAGCATCTGTATAAGGAAATGTAACTATATTGGCATTAGACATTGTTCTGCATGTTGACAAAGATGGTGACAAAAGTTTTTACCCAAAGGTTCCCGAAAAAAGACTTTTTAACAGTCATATGCTATATATATCACATTCCACCCATCCATCAATGTATCATCTATCTATTATCTATCAATGTCTATCTATCTATCTAGCCATCATCTATCTATCTATCTTTCTCCTACTCTCCTATCTATCTTCTATCTATCTATCTATCTATCTATCTATCTATCTATCTATCTGTCATCCATCCATCCATCCATCCAGTTATCATCCATCTACTGTCTGTCTGTCTGTCTATCTATCTATCTATCTATCTATCTATCTATCTATCTATCTATCTATCTATCCATTTGTCCATCCATCTATCATCTATCAACCAATTATCCATCATCCATCTATCTCTTATGTGTCTGTCTGTCTGTCTGTCACCCATTCATCCATAATCCATCTATCTATCTATCTATCTATCTATCTATCTATCTATCTATCTATCTATCATCCATCCATCCATCCATCCATCTATCATCATCCACTTTCTTCCTATCTGTCTGTCTGTCTGTCTATCTATCATCCATCAACCAACTATCCATCATCAATCTACTTCTTATCTATCTTTCTATCTATCTGTCTCATCATCATCATCATCTATCTATCTATCTATCTATCTATCTATCTATCTATCTATCTATCTATCTATCTATATTTCCATCCATCATTCATCTACTATCTATCTATCTATCTATCTATCTATCTATCTATCTATCTATCTATCACCCATCCAGCCAGCCAGCCATCCATCCATCCATCTATCTATCTATCTATCTATCTATCATCCATCCATCCATCCATCCATCCATCCATCCATCCATCCATCCATCCATCATCATCCACTTCCTTCCTGTCTGTCTATCTATCTATCTATCTATCTATCTATCTATCTATCTATCTATCTATCTCTTCATCCATAATCCATCTACTATCTATCTATCATCCATCCATCCATTCATCCATCCATCCATCCATCCATCCATCCATCCATCCATCCATCATCCACTTCCTATCTATCTATCTATCTATCTATCTATCTATCTATCTATCTCCCATTCATCCATAATCCATCTACTATCTGTCTGTCTGTCTGTCTGTCTGTCTGTCTCTCTATCTATTTATCTACCATCTATCTATCTATCTATCTATCTATCTATCTATCTCCCATCCGTCCATCCATCCATCCATCATCCATCTGGGGTAAACTGTAGAGGTGACGCAGATATTTGAACTGGATTGGGATTGTGTAATAGCTGGTCTATTTTAACCTTTGTTTTAACCTTTGTTTTTAACTTTTGTGGTATGAAGTTTTACCTTGGCATTTTAATGATGATATTTTTAATTACCTTTTAACTTAATCAAGTTCTAATGTATGTTAGTTCACTATTACAGGAGTCTTAGGATAGTGATTTTGATGTTGTTCACTGCTTTGAGTCACCTGAGGGCTGAGAAAAGCGGTATATAAATAAAGTAAATAAGTAAATAAATAAATAAATAGATAGGTTAGTGTCTATTTGTGTACTTTTTCGTTTTGTCTTTACTGTTGATATGGTCAGTGGACTAATCAATAAACTTTGTCTCTATCTATCTATCTATCTATTTATCACCCATCCATGCATTCATCATCCATCTACTTCCTATCTATTAACTGCTTGGGTTCTGTTGTTGGGTGTTTTAGTCAGATCGATCTATCTCCCATCCATCCAGCATCCATCTACTTCCCATCTGTCTATCCAACTCTATCTTTCTTTCTTTCTTTCTTTCTTTCTTTCTTTCTTTCTTCCTACCTACCTACCTACCTACCTAGCATCAATCTATTGATCTAATCATCTATCATTTCTTTAATTGATGTCTGTCCCTGTTTCTAGAGCTTTCAGGCTACAATAAAATATAATTAAACAGTTTGAAACCATTTAAAACAATAGGAATAGTTTGTGCAGACAGAAAGTTCATATTAACCACTTTCATCATTTAAAGGCAGTGAAAACAGTTTAAGATGATTTTAAAATCCCAACTTGTGCAGACAGATGAGAGGTCTTCTTGTGGATTCCAAACTTGTTAAAGATCTGGATGAAGGAAGCAGGAATAAATGGATGTTTTGTCTTCCAAAGTTTGAATCGGAAACTGGAGTTTGTTCATGAATGATCAAGGAAGTAGGGATGAGCACTGAGGTGGCCAAGTTTGATTCGGTGTGACGTGATTCTGCGTCAAAACACGAGGGGTTTGTGGAGAAGAGCTCCAAGCGAATCTCTCCAGGTCTGATTGAGGTGATATTTAAGTGACAAATGTGGTTTCATGTACATAAATGTAAAGTGATGTACACACTGAGCCAACGAATCCTGACTTGACATAATGGGGTCTGAGTTTGACATTGATGTCTGGACTAAGCCAGCATTTGGTGGTGTTGTCCAAAGCAAGACATACCTTGTCATCAGCTTTACTGTCTGAACAGGCGACAATATTTTAAGAGTATTTTGCTTTTCTGTAGTTCAGCAGTTCTCAACCTGCGGCTTAAAGAGCTGGGCATGTTTATCCTGCAGAAGAGAAGCCTGAGAGGAGACATGATAGCCATGTATAAATATGTGAGAGGAAGTCACAGGGAGGAGGAGCAAGCTTGTTTTCTGCTTCCTTGGAGACTAGGACACGGAACAATGGCTTCAAACTACAAGAAAGGAGATTCCATCTGAACATGAGGAAGAACTTCCTGACTGTGAGAGCCGTTCAGCAGTGGAACTCTCTGCCCCGGAGTGTGGTGCAGGCTCCTTCTTTGGAAGCTTTTAAACAGAGGCTGGATGGCCATCTGTCAGGGGTGATTTGAATGCAATATTCCTGCTTCTTGGCAGAATGGGGTTGGACTGGATGGCCCATGAGGTCTCTTCCAACTCTTTGATTCTATGATTCTATATATTACTATATTGCTTGATAGTATTATATTGTAATATTATTAGTAATATTACATGTAATATAAAATATGTAATTATCATATCATATTATTATTAGTAGTAGTATATTGTATTACAACTATTTTATTTATTTCGGGTACTTTTACCCCGCCCTTCTCAACCCCCGAGGGGGGACTCAGGGCGGCTTACAAAAGGCACAATTCGATGCCTATACAAAAATTATACATAGTGTACAAAACCATAGTTAAAACAATTATCACAGTTAAAACAATCATAACAATCAATATACATCACATCATATAAAAACTATTCACATGCTCAGCGTTCGTCTTTCAGAGTTCCAAATTCCATTCCATTAGTCATTTCCTGGCCATTCTCAAAGTCCTTTCTTTATCTGCACGATTGTCCGAATGCCTGGTCCCAAATCCATGTTTTCAGTTTTTTCCTGAAGGAAAGGAGTGATGTCGCTGATCTAATTTCCCCGGGGAGCGAATTCCACAGGTGGGGGGCCACCACCGAGAAGGCCCTGCTCCTCATCCCCACCAACCTCACTTGTGATAGAGGCGGGGTCGAGAGCAGGGCCTCCCCAGAAGATCTTAGACTCCGGGATGGGACGTAAAGGGAGATCCATTCGGACAGATACACTGGGCCGGAGCCGTATAGGGTTTTGTAGGTCAAAACCAGCACTTTGAATTGTGCTCAGAACTGGATCGGCAGCCATTGGAGCTGACATAACAAAGGGGTGATATGTTCCCTGTATGGTCATGGGAGTTCTGTGTGCCAAGTTCTGTGTGCCAAGTTTAGTGCAATTCTGTTATTGGTGGAGTTCAAAATGCACATTCATCCCAGCAACTACAACTCCGAAATGGCAAAATCCCCCAACCCCGCCAGTATTCAAATTTGGGTGTATAGGTATTTGTGCCAAATTTGGTCCAGTGAATGAAAATACACCCTGCATATCAGATACTTACATTATGATTCATAAAAGTAACAAAATTACAGTTATGAAGTAGCAAGAAAAATAATGTTATGTTTGGGGGTCAACACAACATTTGGAACTGTATTAAGGAATCGTGGGATTAGATAGGTTGAGAATAGTATATTTCCTCTTGGCAATGCTTGGGTGCTTCATTGGATGCAATGAGCATGGATCCGGAAAAGGAGAGAAAGAGAGATCTCCTTATCTCTTTTGGGATCTCTCTCAGGACTGATGTGTCAACCGATTCCTCTCCTTTTTCATAAAATTGCCTGCTATTTACATTAAGTAGTCAGAGGATGGCGCTCTCTCACCATATGACCTTAGATGTTCCAAGTTTTGGATCGATACTATTGATTTCTTTGTCCTGCCAACTTCTCTTGTTGACTTCTTATCTATGTAAACATCGGCTAGAGCAAACAGGCTAGAGCACACTGACCCCATGCCAATCGATATCATCTACAGGTTTTGCATGCTTGCAAAATTAGAAATGGTCTTTTCAGAATCAGATAGGAACATGAATCTTCTATTTTATTCTAAATTATTATGATTTCTCTTTATTATTTTATTTTATATCTGCTGCCACACTGATATTTTTATAATTACTGTTCCAAAGGGATTTGTTTCCTGGTTCTTCACCCTTGACAATGGACTTTTTTTGTACAGGAGACGAAGGACAGGAAGAACTTCTGCCAGTCGTACATCCAAGAGATGGTGAAGGAAGCCACGGACATCAGCATGAAAAACGAGTCCTTCCAGAAACTCTGGCCGCAGATGTTCATTGAACTCGTCAGGGACGCCGTGATCGAGATACGCAACAAGGATGCCTACATGAAGCTCTGCCTGCAACGCGTCGTGGGCCAGAAATCGTAGAAGGCGCAGGTTTCCTCTACTTGGATTACACACTGGGCTGTCTTTCCACAAAAAGCGTAAAATGTCACCCTTGGGCACTGAAAACCTGTAAAGATTGGCACAGAGAGACCTTTTCCTCACAGATGGAGATGAGAAGTCGTCCCCCTCCTTGTACGCATCGACACAGTGTGCTGATGTCTTGGCACCTTTACCGTCCTTCACCGAATCCTAAATTCTCTGCTGTTTTCATGCTAGAACACCAGTCTTAAGGGAAGCACCTCTTTCAGATGCTCACCCTTTCAGGGTTTTCCCCTCTTGCCTTGACACTCCGCTGCTGTGGAATATCACTGGGTTTTGGGGACTGGGGATTTAATAAATTATTCTGTTTATAACTTCCAAAATTGAGAATTTGAGTGTTATTTTTCATTGATATTTATGGAAGTATGGCTGTTTTCCTTTTTTTATCGTGTCAGAAGCGACTTGGGAACGTACTGCAAGTCGCTTCTGGTGTGAGAAAGTTGGCCATCGACAGAGACATTACCCAGGGGATGCCCAGATGTGTTACCATTCTTCTGGGAGTCTTCTCTCATGTCCCTGCAAGCTAGAGCTGACAGATGGGAGCTCGCCCCATCTTGTGGATACGAACCAGCAACCTTCAGGTCAGCAACCCAACATCCAAGTAATAATAATAATCTATATAAATAAAAATGTAATGTTCGTTTGTGCTATTCACAGAACTCAGAAACCACTGGGGCAATTGACACCAAATTTGGACACTATGTCCCTAACAACCCAATGTATGTTCTCCACTCAAAAAAACAACGAAAACCAAAAGCAGAAAGGACTTCTAAACTGCATGTCCACAAAAGGGAAACTGCATGTCTACAGAGACCCATGGCCACGCCCCTTCCTCCTCGCGGGGAAACAGCCGGCCGTTAAAGCCAGGAGCACATGCACAGCCACACACACACACACACACACACACACACACAAGCGGGTGGAGTGGAGGTGGAAGTGAGAAAAGAAACAGGTAAAGAAGAAGAGAAAGAGAAGGAAAAGAAAAAGAGGAAAGGAAGTAAAGAAGGAGGGAAGGAAGGAGAGAAAGAAAGAAGGGGAGAAAAAAGGAGGGAAGGTTGGCCACAGCAATGCGTGGCGGGTACAGTATAATAACTACTTAAGTAACCCCCGTGATAAGTGAGAGAACACTGTATTTCATTATTGGTGGTTTTTATAACAGAACCAATTAGGAACTGCCATTTATAATGAAATTTTGAAAGTTTTGTTAGAATTCTGAAATTTTCACCACCAGAACTTTAGCAACACTTTAGAAGCAAAGCACCAACACTCCCTAGTTTTGTAACAGATTACTCAACCCTTTAGAACAGTGGTTCTCAACCTGGGGTCCCCAGATGTTTTTGGCCTGCAACTCCCAGAAATCCTAACAGCTGGTAAACTGGCTGGGATTTCTGGGAGTTGTAGGCTAAAAACATCTGGGGACCCCAGGTTGAGAACCACTGTGCTACATGATCCCTTTGCATAATAGGGAATCCTCACCATAAACCTCTTTCATCTCATCAAACATCTCCTTTGGTGTGCGGCCTTTCAAGGAAAGGAACTTGAGGACTGCTCTGGATTCCACTGGGTCCATTCTCAAACCTCACACCACTTCAGCACCTGTAGTAAAATCAAGACCATTCTCAGTTCAGAGTTGTAAATTGGCACGTAACCTATAGAGACTTACTGTATATACTCAAGTATAAGCCTAGTTTTTCAGCCCTTTTTAGGCTGAAAAAGTCCCCCTCAGCTTATACTTGAGTCAATGTTATTTATTATTTTACTCTGTTATTATTTTCATTTCATTTATTATTTTATTCTATTTTTATTATTACATTTATCATTTTACTCTTATTATACATTTTTTATTTTACTGTATAATTGTTGTTATTGCTACATTCATTATTTTACTCTTTATATTATTGTTGTTGTTATTACATTTATTATGTCACTCTATTATTATTGGAAGGATACGGAAGTACATTTACGTTGAAGAAGGTAAATAATCACTTAATCAGAGTTGGACAGTCTTATCTTAAATTACTTTTTTTGTAAATATTCAAAAATATATAACCTACTGATTCCTCAATTAATGTAATTTAATTGGTATCTATTTTTATTTTGCTATTTACCAGTAGCTGTTGCATTTCCCACCCTCGGCTTATACTCGAGTCAATCCGTTTTCTCAGTTTTTTGTGGTAAAATTAGGTTCCTCGGCTTATATTCGGGTCGTATTATTAGAATCATAGAATCATAGAGTTGGAAGAGACCTCATGGGCCATCCAGTCCAACCCCATTCTGCCAAGAATCAGGAATATTGCATTTAAATCACCCCTGACAGATGGCCATCCAGCCTCTGTTTAAAAGCTTCCAAAGAAGGAGCCTCCACCACACTCCGGGGCAGAGAGTTCCACTGCTGAACGGCTCTCACAGTCAGGAAGTTCTTCCTCATGTTCAGATGGAATCTCCTCTCTTGTAGTTTGAAGCCATTGTTCCGCGTCCTAGTCTCCATGGAAGCAGAAAACAAGCTTGCTCCCTCCTCCCTGTGGCTTCCTCTCACATATTTATACATGGCTATCATATCCCCTCTCAGCCTTCTCTTCTTCAGGCTAAACATGCCCAGCTCCTTAAGCCGCTCCTCATAGGGCTTGTTCTCCAGACCTTGATCATTTTAGTCACCCTCCTCTGGACACATTCCAGCTTGTCAACATCTCCCTTCAATTGTGGTGCCCGGAATTGGACACAGTATTCCAGATGTGGTCTGACCAAGGCAGAATAGAGGGGTAGCATGACATCCCTGGATCTAGACACTATATTCCTATTTATGCAGGCCAAAATCCCATTGGCTTTTTTTGCCGCCACATCACATTGTTGGCTCATGTTTAACTTATTTTCCACGAGGACTCCAAGATCTTTTTCACACGTACTGCTCTCGAGCCAGGCTTGTCCCCCATTCTGTATCTTTGCATTTCGTTTTTCTGCCAAAGTGGAGTATCTTGCATTTGTCCCTGTTGAACTTCATTTTGTTAGTTTTGGCTCATCATCTCTCTAATCTGTCAAGATCATTTTGAATCCTGCTCCTGTCCTCTGGAGTATTGGCTATCCCTCCCAATTTGGTGTCGTCTGCAAACTTGATGATCCTGCCTTCTAACCCTTCATCTAAGTCATTAATAAAGATGTTGAACAGGACCGGGCCCAGGACGGAACCCTGCGGCACTCCGCTCGTCACTTCTTTCCAGGATGAAGAGGAAGCATTGTGAGCACCCTCTGGGTTCGTCCATTTAACCAATTACAGATCCACCTCACCGTAGTTTTGCCTAGCCCACATTGGACTAGTTTCCTTGCCAAAAGGTCATGGGGGACCTTGTCGAAGGCCTTACTGAAATCCAGGTACGCTACATCCACGGCATTCCCCGCATCTACCCAGCTTGTAACTCTATCGAAAAAAGAGATCAGATGAGTCTGGCATGACTTGTTTTTGATCAATCCTTGGGAAGAATCACCTTATATGATTACACATGTGCAGTTTCAGTGTCCTGTGATAAATAGAAGTGGGTCAGGAGAAATCTTTAATGAACGCCCCTCATATGATTCCACAGCACCACCTCTTATTCAGATGTATTCATTAGGCAGATAGTACGAGGGGTATTTTTTTTATAAGATAGTTTTTATTGAGTTTTCTAAAGTACAGCGAAAGAGGGAGAATAATTCAAGAAGATAGAAAAGTGGGAAATTTTAAGAAAAAAAGAGTGAGAAGAAAAGAAAAAATAAAAATAACCCCCCACCTCCAAAAAACAAGAATTTTTTTTTTAAAATTTAAAAATTAAAAAAATTGAAAAAAGGTTGGACTTCCTTCTGATTCTGCCCGTATGGTCCCTTCTTTTGATCTATGTCTTATATATGATTCCAATTTATATCTTCTTTATTTCCACAGCACAATTATCTTGTATCTCGTTTCAATATAGTCATCTATTATTGACCAATCTGTCTGTTTCGGTGGAGTACCAGTATTCTTTTTTAGTAAAAAAAATTAGTTGTATGAGGGGTATTTTTTAAGTAAGGTCCGTTTGAACATAAGTACACAACGAAAGTTTATTTCAAAAAAGTAAATTTCTTTTCAGAAAGTACATACTTCACTCTATTTTTCGACATAGTTGCCAAGTTTGTTCAAACACTTATCATACCTCTGAACCAATTTTAAAATACCCTCTTCATAAAAACTTGCCACCTGCTCCGATAACCAAGAGTTCACTGCCGTTTTCACAACTCAAATCTTTGGTTTTTGTGGTCCTCTGTTAGGAGTTTCGGGACCCAACAGGAGCACAGTTTCCTAAACTTTAGGTGTTCAGAAACAATGTTGTAAAGCACTGATCTCGACACGTCAGGAAATTCGTTTGAGAGACCTGTTATTGTGAAGCGCCTGTTCTCACGAATCCTCGCTTCAACTGAAGCCACCAAATCGTCTGTAATCAAAGAAGGGCGACCGGAGCGGTCCTCATCATGGACGTTGTCACGGCCATCTTTGAATTGTCGTACCCACTTACGCACTTTGCTTTCACTCATAACAGTATCACCGTACACTTCACAAATCTGTCGATGGATTTCTGCAGCAGGCAGGTTCCTTGCTGACAAAAACCGTATCACTGAGCGAACCTCACATGCGGAGGGTGAGTTGATAGTCTTAAACATTTTTGAAGCACAGAACAGAACCGTACAGGTTAGCTACAGAGCGGAAACTGAGCACAGTTGTTCCCGAGGCATGCCGGTACACGATGCACACGCTCGTTGCGGTATGCGTGCGAACTACTAGTGTCTACAACAAAATGGACCTTACTTAAAACATACCCCCGTATATTGTTAATGATAAGCACACACTTTGACTAGGTATCTATGCACCAAACTCTTGGCTCATTCCATCACTTGGCTCGTTTTCCTCAATTGTTATGCATCCTTGTTCAGCCCAGGAATCCAAATCTTGGGCAAATAGAGCTCTCTATCCTGCCTTGAAAGAGGATCTAAAATAAAAGACAGAGCTTGGGCTTTTGTTTACTTAGAGCATCTCCGTAGCATGAAAGGAGCAGAAGTTCAACATGGGCTTCTCCTGCCAGAATTGGGAAGAAAAATCCAGGGGTGGAGGGCAGGGAGGTTTACTTTTTCAAATTATTTGTATGATGTTTGAGTTAGACAGTCTGCCTTGTTTGCCAGTAAAGATCTGTATCTTCAAAGAGACCGTAAGTTGTGCTCTCCACCCCGCGACCCGGCTCTCAATTGCCTTGGCACTGCTTTGGAGAAGCCATCACTCGTTTGCATCATCTTAATTACAAGCCTTTTAAGAATCTAAAATTGA